GATCTAGAACCTTCTACGATAGCAGGGTCAGCAGTTGCATCGTGAATACCTGCTAAATATGCTAAAAGGAGTAAACACAAAGACAAAAAGTATATGAACATGGAAGCTTTTATCTTATTTCCTGTATTTTACCTGTTGTTTCCAACCATGGAAACATGACCTCAGAGGAGGTGACCGAGAAGGACACGGTGAGAGAGCCTCCTTTCTCCTTACCTCTGTCCAGTATTTCTATTCCTTCTCCTTTCAGCTTGCAAACCAATTTTTCTTGCAGCCTTTTAACCTCAACTTCCTTCTGCTCCAGTTTGTCTTTCAAAGCTGCTAGCTCATCCTGTAATAGACAGAATCACTCAGTGACAGCTTCCACGATTCCAAGATGCCCTCCTATGAAGTGCAGTGGACAGGTCCTCAGCCAGTGGAAATGACCGTGGGCCCCCCGACATTTACACTGGCTGAGGGTGCACCCACCAAACTCTGCCTCTGAACATGGCAACAGACCGTTGAGTGTGTAAGGGGGCAAAACCAGGGGGCCTACGGTCCGAAAGCATCGGTCTCACGCGTTAATTTGAAAAGAAATTTTACATTGAAATTTTAGAAAGAAAAAAGTAAAGCAAAAAAAGCTTAAGTTTGCAGAGACAGAAAAAGCGCAGGTGATGAGGCTGAAGGCTAAAATTGACAAAATCATATTTTGTTATTTGTAGGGCATTTTGCATGTTCGAAGCTGGACAGTTACGGAACTGTGCTTACACCGGGCTGAGGACAATTTCAGAAACAACCGCTGCTTCTGCGAAAGAACAATCAATCACGACACCATCAAGCACATAAACACATAGTGGAAAGCAGCTCAGATGAAAATGTGGTACCCTCTGCCACAGTCTGGGCTTGCTGATCAAGCATTAGCAAAGGAAGCCGAGAGTTGAGATTCAGGGGAGTAAGACAGATGGTGTTTGGGGGAGTTGGGGTGTATTAGATAAATGCTGTCAAATTTTAACTTAGCTCTAACCATCTGCACTAGCAAATGACTGGCATGGATCCATGCATTTAACTTTCTAACATTTGAGTCAAATCCTACCCAGTTTAGTTAACATGTTTCTTTGATGTCCGAGGATATCTTGTGCAACAGCATCATCAAGACAGGACCCTCAGTGCAAATGTACCCAACGTTGAAAATTTAATTTGTTCAGTTTGTAAACAAAAAAAACCAAGGCAAGACTCATTATTTTGGCATTTACAGCTTCTAACTCAAGTTTTAAATCCATAAAGGAATAAATGAAACTAGAATACTGTGGCTTAGAATCATACAAAGGGTTGGGTTGGAAGGGACCTTAAAGCCCATCCAGTTCCAACCCCCCTGCCATGGGCAGGGACACCTTCCACTAGACCAGGTTGCTCCAAGCCTCATCCAGCCTGGCCTTGGACACTTCCAGGGATGGGGTATCCACAGCTTCTCTGGGCAACCTGTCCCCATGCCTCCCCACCCTCTCTGGGAAGAACTTCTTCCTGATATCCAATCTAAACCTCCCCACTTTCAATTTAAACCCGTTACCCCTTGTCCTGTCACTACAGGCCCTTGTAAAAAGTCCCCCCCAGCTTCCTTGTAGCCCCTTCAGGCACTGGAAGGTGCTATAAGGTCTCCCTGGGAGATATTAGGGATTTTCCTGAGCTTCCCTCCAAAGATCTATTGCAAATATATAGCGATACCTGTGACCCAAACCATGGCCCAGATGACAGAATTTCCTGACACTGGTTCCTGTTTGCTCTAAAGCATCATTAAAAAAATAAATCAATCTTAAAATTTTCCAGAAATCAAAGCTTCTTCCAGTGGTTGGACAAGACGATCCTCCAGTGCTCTGACCCAGTACTGACTTTAATGGGATTTCTGCCATGCTTCTCCAAAACAAGTCCATCTCCTGGTCACTTGAGGAGCTGCTGTTACACCCATGGGCAACTAGAGCTGCATGTGGTTGCTGATGTATGTTTCTTCCCCTGAATCAGAAACTCAGTATATATATTTACACGTGGGAGAAGGGACGGTGTAAAAGATTCATTATTTTCTAGGCAGTTTTCATGAATAAATTTTCTCTACAAGGCGAGAAAAAGTTCCATGTGAATAATGGGTGTAAGATCCTTGGAAGTGAAATGATTTCACGTCTAACTCCATCATGTGTAACTTGTGAAAAGTTCACAAGGCTGAAAACCTGTCCCATATAACATAAAGGCTGTTTACAAGGAGTATCTACGTAAAGAGTTTTCCACATCTAATGGGAAAGGGCACACTGCATATCAACACACAGCAATTAATGGAGAACAGAGCACGACAGCACGATGCAAGACAGACCGTAAAATGGTGGAACACGAAGGATTCAAAACAGGCCCAATGTTACCCAGAAACTACTACACCTTTAGCATCTGGCTTTTTTGCTCCATCCGCTGCTTTTCATACTGCATCTGACCCACTTTGATTTTCATGCTAGAAAGTTTGGCCATTAAAGACTGGTAACAGAGACAGAGGAGTGAGAGAAAACTAAAGATAGAAAAGAGACAAGGCTAAATGGCAAAAGAGTTAGACACTTACAGAAACAGGCTGCTAGAATTACTTAGGGGAATGCTTTCTCTTCAAAAGTGGCTGGTTTTTAGCTCATTTGCATGCTCAGTTTTGGTCTCACCTATGGCACCCATCTCATGTACTGCAGCTGGTGTTCCTTGACACATCTGTGAAACCCGGGTCTAAACGGGTAATGTCTTTACTGTTCACAGCCAGCTGCGCCATGAGTCATCTTTCATAAAAAACGATGTCCAGATCTGAGAACCACAGCAGGAAAGTTGGAAATAACTCCCTGTTGCTAAGTGAGTAGCATGAAACCCCTGGGCCTGAGCGTGCTCGGGATTTTTCAGGGTGCAGGCAAGGACTGGGCAAACTTCTAGAGCCTGACTTACACCCATCTCCACTTACTTCCCACAGCCTCACTTACTTTGGTCGTTTTCAGTTTCTTCTCGTACTGGAGTCTTTCGTTGTCCATTTCTCCAACTCTCAGTCGCAATTCATTTATTTCCTGGATCAAATCCTGAGTGAGGGTGAAAACAAGACCAGAAACAACAAAGAAATTCAGTAAACAGAGCGACAGCTGTCCAGAAATACCTTGGTGGGACCCATAAAAACACAGCAGCAATAAAAGCAACACACCACCCAAATTCATAGTTGAGTCAAGGGACCCTACTTCTCAGTTTCCGCATTACTGCACCAAATGCAAGAGGGCAGAGGACAAAGGGAGACAAGTTCCTGTCGTGTTCCCTGCGCTGGGAGCTAAGAAAGGCCTCAAGCACTCTGGCTGCTCCACTGCTTGTAAGTCCACCACAACAAGTGGGTACTGGAAAACCGTGGCAGCTGTCCTCCCATATGCAGCAGCCACGTCCTCCCCACATCCAGTCCCTCCCACACCAGGCTCGCCAGCCGCCACCTGCCTTTTGAAAATACAAAGTCATTACAGTGCAAATCCCTGTTTCCATCACTCAGACGAGCCCCTCCAACCGAGGGCTGAATGGAAGAGCCATGACCAGTTTCTACAAGCATAGAGGCCTATGTGTTTAAGCATCAGCGGTGCCACTACATTTGAGCTCTGCAAATTCAGCCTGGTTCGGAAGAAACCACCAACTCGCACCTGAGCTCTTGAGGAGAACGTCTCGACCTCCTAGCCATCCCCTTGGAGAGGCCGACCAGGTTTGGAGGTCAGCCCACAGCGCCACCAGCTCTACAGCTGGTCAAACAAACCCTGAGTTGGACTGCCCCACCGAGGCGCAAGGCATTTTCTCCAAACCTTCCCGTCTTCTAGATGGGGAAACGGGATCTTAAGTGGCCAGTGGCCAGCTTGTGGGACAGCCAAGTCCAAGTGATGGTATGGTACTTCGGTTTGCTTGTCTTCCGCCGCGGTAAGGCAAATCCTACCCATGTCAAGCAACGCTGTACCTTGAGCTAACAACTATAAACACGATTTTTCAGAGCTAATTGTATAATTAATAGAGATTTATAATTTATAAATTGAAAAGCCAGCAGCTGACATTTAGAGGGTAGTCACGGGTCCCTGGTAACGCCTGCCTTCCAGCCCCACGCCACATCATCTGAGCTTACATGCCTCTGGTCATTACTTTGTGCTTAACAAATCTGATGGCAACAGAGCAGCACCTGTGTTTCTTTAGCAAGATCCAAGCTCAATTACCGGAACTACAAGGAAAATAAAAATACAGAACGCTTTGATGTTATGTGTTATTACTACTGCTAACGTACAACTTTGTGATTTGGATACACCCGCAATGCCTCACTGATTGTAAAGCGTGCGACCTTTACAAAGCACATTCTGAGTATAAACGCACACGGATGTCGGTCTGCGTGACTACTCTTACCAACACCAAGTGTCTGGGATCTCTAACAAACCTGTGTTCCCAGGTTTGATGGTCAGCTTTGTCACTACGACGATTGATTTGTCAGGGGCTTTGCTCTCCTGCAGTCACCATTTTTGCTTTGGCATGATCCAGGGTCAAAATACGCTGCGTTTGCAGTAACTGCTGAGGTTGTTGCCTACATATTTATCACCTGAACAATGTGACTTTTAAAATACTGGAGGAGGAGAGGGCAAGCAGTTATCTGTATTCAAAAGGCCCTTCTGAGCAAAAGGAATAACAAACCAAACCTCTGCTCCTTTTATGAAAAAAAGTTAAGGCAACCCATATCGATTAACAGAAATGCCAAGGTGCACTCCCAACGTCACGGAAAACAGAGCAGTCTTGCAACCAGGTCTTGGTTGCAACCAGGTCTTGGAGCAGAACCTATATTCTTCTGCTTAATCTGTTATGGGCCACCAGGGTAACTGCATCCTTCAGCACTGGTCACTACAAATACTGTACAATTTGCTCAAGGGTTAAAGAGAACTGAATGGAAGTACTAACGGCATGCTTTGCCCTAAAAATATTTTCAGTTACTCTCTTGCAAGTGTAACATTAACTCATGTCTTATCTACAAGACAGTGACTGTAAAGGACACTCATATTTTTGGGGCAGAGGAGTACATTAAAGATTCACCAGGTTCTGCATACAGCCCCTCATTAGTACAAAAGAGATGGTCAAGCCTTGCAGAGGAAAAAAACAAGGCCCAAACGGGGTCGTCTCCCCTGCTACCAAGTTACTGTTTAACTCTGGGCAAGCTACGGGAGGTAGATTGCCAGAGGCACTGAGGTTGCCTAAGAAATCCTAATCCTCCCAGTGCATTTCCCTTTCCTGCTTGCTGCCCTGAAACATCTACCCTCTTCCACTATTCTCTGTTCGACTGATTTTGACTACAAACCTTCCACAGCAAGGACTGGCCTTGCCCCCTCCTGCCGCAGCCCCAGCAAGGGGCATTGTCTGAAACCTGACGGTGCCCACCATTACAGCTGCTTATGACCCCACAGAGCTTTTGGGCCCAGCGTGATGCCCCCCGTGGCACGCAGGGTGTCGTATGGGTTCATCGGGATCTGAGATCAGACCAAAAACCCACCAAGCTCCCTGGCCAACTTGGATGGACCAGCAGGAAAAGTCACCCGCACGGTGGCCAGTGTACGTAGGGCACCTGCTCCGCTTGTATTTAATACCTCCTCTTCGGGCACCCATACATGGGCTGAAATACCCACCCTGGGCCATGTTCCTGTCTTAAAAACCTGCAAAACAGGAAAGAGACACTAAATGGTCCTCTTCTGATCCAGGGTCCCTCTATGCAAACACCCAACAGCTGTTCCTCGCCTGTATCCGTGAATGGAGGAGGTGGGGTGGGCCATACAGACTCCTGTTTCCCAAGGTCTCTTCCTTCCCTGCCTGTGTTACTTGCGCTCTTTGCAGCAAGGCCAGGGAGGCATAAAAACGCAATTATAACTCAGTTTCAGAGGTCAGAGGCTTCCTTACTGGCACTGGGAACACAAACTCCAGTCGTCTGTTTGCTCCACTCTGAAATTCATCTGCACAAAGGAGAATGGTGGTGTTCAAATCATGAAGAATTCCCCAGGAGCGAGCCAGACTAACCTCTGGCTGCTGCTTCAAAGCCCACGTCCGCTTACGGACTCCTCCCTAAATAAACTCCCTCGGACAATATTTCCTTACATCAACGCAGCCCAACTCAGACCACCCGTGCTCCGTAAGGAAAATAATACTGGTGTCTGATGAGAAAGTGGAAAGACTGGAATGATCTAAAGAACAGACCAATTCTAAATCTCTATTAAGTACACAATCAGCTTTGAAAACTATCTGGTTTGTGAGTACCTAGACAGGAAAGTCCTAAAGCACAAAGGGAAAAAAGCTTACAGATCTAGTGAAGCATGTTTAGAGAAGGAATGGTGAATGTGAGAAACCTACCAAGCTGGAAAGGGAAGTTGCAATGACAGACATAACCAAAACTGGATAATATGAAGGGTTTAATCTGAATGGTAATTCTGTAGGAGCCAGTAACTCCACAAAAGTTGTTTTAAGATGTCTATGTGTTTTTTTTTTCTTTACACTTCCTTTTCCCTAAATAAAAACAGAAGCAATATTCATAGTTTTTCTTTCCCAGTTTGGGTATGAATTTTTTCTACTTTGAACACTGCATGTAAATGCCATTATGTGTTTTATGACAGATTATTTTAAATATTCTTAAATACTCAGCTCTGCTGAAAAAATTTATCATCTATTACTTTAAACAGGAATATAGTTAGATCAAGACTGAATAAAATAGTGTTCTTCTGAATAAGTACTGCTTCCAAAATACCTGTTAGAGATCTTGCATGGCCGAGCCACTTACAACTAATTAGCCACTCATTTTTTCACTGAGCAAAATGGAAATTAAGACACATTATCCCTTTCAGTGTCTAAGCCTAAGCCGTCTTACAGCTACAAAGTGTTGAAACAAAGAAGAAAAAACGTAATTTCTATCTCACTAAACTACATCATTCTGGTTTTCAAAGGGAGCAAGGATCATTTTAGTAATAGTTCATTAGTTCTGGCATAAACATCCAGGACATAAATCTACACAGCCTCTAATTATAGCAATTAAATTTCAAACGTAATTCAGGTTATCATAATTTTATCAAAGGCATGAAGTGTATTTCAAGGTATCTCCAAGAGAAGCGTCTTCACAGCTGCCAGGTGGGGAAGCCTCTTGCAGGGAGCCCAGAGAGCTGCAGTGCATGTTGTGGTCCCCACTCTGTAACCGCTTTCCTGGGAACAGAGGCAGCTCCACGTCTGCCTTCCCGCTCTGCTGAGCTGTGCTAGTAAGTTATAGACAAACTGTACTTCAGGGGGGAAACAAAGGAAAGGGGGGTACAGGAAAGCTCAGCAAAGGATCATATTTGATACAAGTAAGCATAGAAAGAGAGGAAGCAAATCACTGAACGCCTGATCACTTCTGTCACCTGCACAAGAAACCACAAGGTGTTCACAAATGGGGATGAAGAATCCAGTTCCGAAAGCACCCGCTCACTGCAGCCGTTCGGACCCAACCTTGCCTCCCCAGAGCCATTTCCTGCTGGTGACAATTCATGTATGATAGAATCACGGAACGGTTTGGGTTGGAAGGGACCTTAAAGCCCATCCAGTTCCAACCCCCCTGCCATGGGCAGGGACACCTTCCACTAGACCAGGTTGCTCCAAGCCTCATCCAGCCTGGCCTTGGACACTTCCAGGGATGGGGCATCCACAGCTTCTCTGGGCAACCTGGCCCAGTGCCTCCCCACCCTCTCCGGGAAGAACTTCTTCCTGATATCCAATCTAAACCTCCCCACTTTCAATTTAAACCTGTTACCCCTTGTCCTGTCACTACAGGCCCTTGTAAAAAGTCCCCCCCAGCTTCCCTGTAGCCCCTTCAGGCACTGGAAGGTGCTATAAGGGCTCCCCGGAGCCTTCTCTTCTCCAGGCTGAACAAGCCCAACTCTCCCAGCCTGTCCCCATAGCAGAGGGGCTCCAGCCCTCGGAGCCTCTCCGTGGCCTCCTCTGGACTCGCTCCAACCGGTCTATATCCTTCTGATGTTGAGGGCTCCACAGCTGGACGCAGCACTCCAGGTGGGGACTCACCAGAGCAGAGCAGAGGGGGAGAATCCCCTCCCTCGATCTGCTGGCCACACTGCTCTGGATACAGCCCAGGATACCGGCTGCTTTGAAGGCAGTGCAGTGATCCTTCACACAACACCTGCTATCAAACTAGAGGAAAAGGTAACAGGAGGCAACATGAATCCAATCCACGGCTTGGCAGCACCCAGATGTGCTACACTGCTGGAACGGACACTGCCATCACCACCTTTCCAACCTGAACATGACCAGAGTCATTAGTTTTCACCCTGTGGACTTCTTTGGGTCTGCAGACTACTTCAGACAGGCCCAAGGAAAGTAAGTCAAAAGCAAGCCTAACTTTTGCTCTTATGCTTGCAACACAGGTGAGGAACCACACTGCACTGGAAAATATGTAGGGAACTAGAAGGGAGTTGGTAAACCACTGACTGAAGTGGAAAGGGCAAATTTTGTCTCCTGTGATGGCATTATGGCATCTTCCCTGCCAAAAAGGAATGATATCTGGAACATCCACAATATGAACATCTGACGTTTCAGCTCATTTGTGAAGCCAGAGTTGGAAATTTTCTTCTGCTTCCCAGGCAGACTCCAAGATATTTCTGATATGGGGTACATCACCCCTGTAACAAAATTCGGCCTGATGACTGGAGTTTTGTGGAAAAATTGGGTTTGCCTACCTGCAAACTTTCTGAAGGCTTTCTGGCTTCAAACACGAGCAAGTTTCAGCTGCACAGCTCTGTGATGCACAGAGTGCAAATGCTGCGGGAGAGCGCTGCCAGGGATGGAAGCTCCAGGCTGCAGCCCTGCCTGGTGCTGTGCACTCTGGGTCTCTCGGTCCTGGGCTTCTGCAGGGCTGGGGTTTGAAGGGAGGCTTCAGACTGCCCCCACACCGAGTCACCTCATTCTCTCCGTCAGACACCAAAAGTGATGTGCTTTAGTGTGCTGTGTCTTCCCACACGCATGCTTTCTGCACTTGCAGTGAGCTTAAGGGTTTGCCTCACACAGGCCTTAATAAGATGATGGCAGTTTCAGGCTGGGACAGGAGAGTGTGGTACGTTCACGATTTTATTGAAATCCATCCTAAATGCCATCCCCTCCTGAGATCTGGTGGCAGGAATCAAAAACTGGTTTCTGAAATCTTTCTTTGTAAAGCCAGAGCTAACCAAAGAGGACACATGTTATGTTAAGAGATACATGTTTTAACCTTAAAGGTGAGTTCGCTTCTTGCCTAGCAAAAAAAAACCCCAAAATCCCAGGAAATGTTCAGGTAACATGAAGACAGAGTTTTGATGATCTGTTCAGTTGGGTTTTACTCACCTCTGTGTCTCTGAATCTGTCCTCGTAGTCCAATCGATCCTTCTCTACAGAAGTAAGCTTTAACTTCAGAGTGGAAATCTCTGCCATAAGATCCAGCTTCTGAGTTTCAAGGGATGTTCTGCTCAGAAGCTCCTGATTCAAGACAAAGCGAACAGAATTCCTCATCCAAGGGGAAGAAATCAGTCAATTATTTCTACAACTAAAGGCCTCTTCCATGGGGAAAAGCATCACACTCTTCCTTGCACTCTCTGAAGCCCTGGGACACAGCTATTACCCATCAGACTCCAGGCACCTAAGCTGCATCTGAGATCACGGGGGCACTGTCACAGGTTGGCTGTCAGGACAAGACAAAAGCTTGTCTGTCATCACAGTTGCTCTTGGAATCCACCCATCCTGCCAGAGGCTTTAAACCAAGTCTCTTTGAAGTTCAGTGGGGAAAGGCTCAAAGAAGAGCAGGACTGGATTCCTCCAGTGTAAAGCCGCACCGACATCACTAAGTACAAAGACTTTAAAGCAAACATGGTAGAAAATTATCACTGAGTTAGGAGACGTCAAGGGGCGGAACACCTTGAACTGAAGCGCGCTGCTCTCACCGATGCAAAATGCAGTTCGCTAAGACAGAACGAAGACAGACGGCGTGAGACGTGCGCCTGCGAAATACCTGCTGCAGCATCTCTTCCGTGGCATTCAGCTTCTCCCTGTGCTCCTCCAGGCAGAACTCCAGATCCCGAATCTTTTCTCCCTGGGCCTCCACCTGGTCCGTAAGCACGCTTACCTGCACAGCAGAGAAAAAGGGATTCCCGTTAAGTGCCTCGTTCCCGTACCACGTGCTGACCTGAAGAACTGCATGTGAGCGACAGCACCCGCCGGGGCACTGATGAAACGGGACCACGGCAGGAGGAGCAGCAAAGCTCTGCAGCGGAGACGACGCGTGGCGAAGGTGACAGAGGAGGAGGGAAAGCTCTCCCCTCACGCTTACTGGAATTTCAGCCGAAGTTCTGGTGGGCGCATTGCAATCCTGCGTCTCCCCTCCTGACTTGCCCTGGGAGTTTCACAAGGGGTGGCCGCTCCATCCTACAGCCAACAATTCTGCCCTTGCCGTGACAACGCACTGACTACAGCCCACCAGCTCCTGCCTTAACAACCAAAAAGCTAAACCTCACTGCACGCAACTTACTCTGCTTTCCAAGAGACTGCACCCAGTGCGCCGTAGCATACCGCTTCTCCTTTTCAGGACAACAAAAGCAAAAGTGGTTAAAAGACACAGACCAAGGTTAGGCAAGAAAGACCAAGACAACATCTTTGAAACTCCACACCGACTCCCATTTTGCCTTTTCTGAACAAACGTAAACAGGCTCTTTCGAGGAAATCTGCGGTACTGCTGGGAACGAGGGCAGGCTGCCTGGAACAGAGCTCGGCCTTCTCACAGCCCTTGGGCCAGGCCTGCGTCAGGGGACTGCAGCACGCCTGCACAGACCAAGGGATGCCCAGGGGACCGCAGCACGCCTGCACAGACCAAGGGATGCCCAGTAGTCCCGACCCTGGAGGGAGGGGTAAGCCAGCTGGCAAGGGCACCCAGGGCTGGCCCAGTCCAGCCCAGCTGCAGGTCAGCAGGACCTCCGAGGGGCTACTTGTCTCCTCCAGCCTGTTGGCCTGCCCTGCAGCTTCTGTCACCTTGCATGAGGACAGGACATCTGTCACCTGATGCGGCCACGGAAAAACGTGATATTCAGGATACAGATGAATGTAAGAAGATGGTTGCTCTGCAGACCTGCTCAGCTAGCGAGGTTCGACAAGAGATGAGACAGAAAGAAAGGCCTTGAGATTTTTCCTGCTGCCTAAATTCACGCCTATCCTTAATCTGGTTAACTCTCAGGTATCAGCAAGCCTTCTGAACACTGTTCAAGATGACAACTGCAAATAAATCCTCAGAGGTTTTATCACATGCTATCCAAAAGTATTATGAATATGAGAGCAGAAAAAGACACCAAACAGTATAGGTGACTACTCACTTGCAGAACAAGAGATTCCTTATCATTTTCCAGACGAGCCAGCCTTTCTTGATACACATCTCCATTCCCAGATATGTGTCCATTAGTCTGAAAAAGACAGCAAATATTGTGTTGTCAGCTATCGTACCCTGTGTCATTCAATGCTATCAACACATTTCAGAAGTATTTTTAGTCTGCACAGTTCAAGAACAGATGCATTCTCCAGTCTGCAAAGGGTTACAAATCAAATAAAACATCAACAAAGGATACAAGACCACCATTCAGGACAAGAATTGTTCAGAGGCCTAAAGATGAGAAAAGAAGACCCTTTTGGTGACCCAATTCTGCAAAATTCACTTACTGTGCATTCAGCATTTTGATAACCAAATTTGTGCTCAATGATATACCACGCTAAGCCATACTTGCAGAGAGACAAATACTCCCAGACATTCAGCAAGTGAAAAAAATCAACGTACAATCTACAAAATGTGCATTATGCTTCTTGCAAGTCAAACGATTTTTTCTGAAACACAGAGCAGGAGACATCCTTTTATATCAGGCGCATTTTACTGGGTATGGGTGAATGTCTGCACTCTAAACACATCTCTTTATAAAGCTGCCTGAGGCTAAAGAGAAACAAGAATACATGTTAATGCTATCAGAGAGTTCAGAGGAATCAGCAACTTATTTTCTTCATAATAACTTCAATGCTCTTGAGCAGCGAGAAGGATTTTACTCTATCCATATTCAAAGCTCTCTCAAAGCACTTTGTGGTGGATGCCACAATCAGATCTCAGCTCAGAAAAGAAATCCTTGTTCCCATCCTTGCATAAATAACTCAGAGGAGTCTGAGAAGCTGCTCTGAGGCCCAGAGCGCTCGGCACAGAGGCTCCCACTGACTCCAGGGAGCCTCAATTTCCCTCTGAATATGTGATGAAATCGGGCAACTGATCCTCTGCAGCACAGCCCTGCCATCAGAGGCCACTCCATGCAGGAGCTGCAAGCCTCGGGCTCCTGCTTTCAATCTCCCTTTCAAGCAGTTTGTCTCCCCCAATTGCAGAGGATGCCTCAGGAAACTCCAGCTAAAACTCCTTTCCTAAGTTACATGCCTGACTTCAGGGGATGGGAGAAACTGCCTTGTTTGAAACTGCAGGAATAAAATGCCCACCAGCAGTACTTTCAGATCAGAGGCAAAGCAAACAGGAAGGGGTACAAGGTACTTGTCCTCACCTCAGCGCTCTCCTCGAGACATCAGCCTGTGTCCTGGCAGTTTGTGTATCAGGGTGCGGTTACCAACGCGTCGCCCAACATGTCTAACTTCTACAAGGTGACCATAACACCCCCTCTGAAATCACCACAGCACACTACAAGGGGATGCTCCCTAGGAATTTGTACCAATACCTCACACCATGATGACACCCTGAATCTGAATTATTTAGCAGCAAATTACTAGGCTTTCTGACCACTGGGAAACTAAGCGCCACGGCAGAAGTGCTCTAAACTTCTGAGGTTGCCCCGTTGTCCCCCTGACCTCTACCAGAATTTAGCTCACACCACTGGATTTCCATTCAAGATCAGCGAGATCTTCAGTTTTGTAAGTTTTAATTTAGGTGCAAGAAGTCGAAGAGCTTCCAAAATAACCCTGTTAGCTCTTCAGCTAGCAGATTATGCTTTAAATTTTGTCACTTGACTTGTATGTGAAATACAAACCCGAGCTTTTTGCATACTTTTGCTATTCTGCAGCTCCCTTCTCATTTGCAGTCCTCCAAGTACATCCCAGGCACTTCCTCAGCCTCCACGAGAACAGTGCCCGTGCTTTGTAACATCCACCACATTTGCCAATCCAGCGTGTGCCTGTGACGCTTGGAAGGGACATTCATCCCCCGTCACAAGCAGGCAGCCGAGGCGCAAAGACACCCCTCCATCCTGCCGGGGCTCACACCACAGCTCCTCGTCCAAGCAGACTCCCAACCGCCTCGTCAGCGCCCTAACCACCCAACCTCTTGGTACTTCCGTCAGCGAAACCAGACACAAATGAACTAAACCCAGTGACTGCGTGAAGAAAACCTGGGGAGGCAGGTATTGGGCTTCACACTACGATGAAAATGTCTTCGTGCCGCTGTGAAAACCGACGAGGTGTTAAAGCAGAATGTTAGTCATTGTGCACAGCATCTTGCCGAGACACCTTTGTTGTTAAACTCCGTTCCCATTCCTCAAAAAAACCCCTGTTTCACTCAGCACATCTTACTTGGTTTTAAAATAAGAGCATTTAGAGAGTGAGAGTTCAGGCTGCAGCTGCACATGGCCAAGAGAAAGAGGGAGAAGGCGATGGGAAACCCAAAAAGGAGCGGAGTAAAGGCTGTTCTCCCACAAAACCAAATACAAAGATGTCTTGGTTGCCGGTCACCAGCAATATTTTGTAAAATCTGCATAAAACCAGACCTCCTATAGTACACCGAAAATGGGACACACTGTACAACCCAACAGTGGTTTGCTTTTTGCCTAAAATGCTGTACCCTCTGCATAATGCCTGGGACTAACTCTTCATTTTAGGTATGCCTATAGTACACCGAAAACGTGACGCACTGTACAACCCAACAGCAGTTTGCTTTTTGCCTGAAATGCTGCACCTGCTGCATAATGTCCGGGACTAACTCTTCATTTTAGGTATGAAAAGGTAAGAAAGTCACAGAGAGACAAGGAAAGAGGGGAGATAAAACACATGAAAAGAAGAACAGGGGGGTGATGGCAGCGGGCAGGACTGAAGAGAAACGGAGAGGGAAGATACCCAAACACCAGACATGGGAAAGCAGTGCATCAGGAGATGGGGTGGAGAGGGACTCAACGGGGATGAGTGGCCTTCAGGGAGGTCTGAAAGATGTCAAGAGACCAGGGAGTGCAAAACCTGGGTGAGCAGCCTCAGTTTGTCCTTCAGGAGGAGTTTCTCTCCACCTGGGGACTCACAGCCTCCGCTGGGACAGAGCCTGGCAACTACTCACCCTGCAGAGCAATGGTTCCGCTTTAAAAAACAAGAGAAAAAAGAATCATATAATCAGAGAATGGTTTGGGTTGGAAGGGACTTCAAAGACCATCCAGTTCCAGCCCCCCTGTCATGGGCAGGGACACCTTCCACTAGACCAGGTTGCTCCAAGCCTCATCCAGCCTGGCCTTGGACACTTCCAGGGATGGGGCATCCACAGCTTCTCTGGGCAACCTGTCCCAGTGCCTCCCCACCCTCTCCGGGAAGAACTTCTTCCTGATATCCAATCTAAACCTCCCCACTTTCAATTTAAACCCAAAGAATAAACTAAACATTCATTCAACAGCAACTGCACGTGTATTTGGGGCACTTGGTAGTTCTGGATCAAATTTGTATCAGCAAAGTCAATACAGGATTAACATAGTTTGCTAAGCTGTGTAAGACAAGCTTTGCCATTTTTCAAAGAAGGCTCTTGCTCATCACCAACTTAAAAATCTATCTTCAATTATGCGGTTGGACTTTGCATGTGTTTTCCATTTAGGGATTAACTGCAAAACACTGGATGGGAAGAGAATGCAGATTTACCAACAGCCATCTTAATCCCAAAAACAAAGGAACATTTGTCACGATGCCACTGAGGCTTTGCAGAAGTTTGAGGTTAAGCATTTACTGAAAATGCCTTGTAAGATCAGACCGGCTGCACTTCAAAACTCTGCCAGATCAATCCACGGCTAATCTGTAAAACACGTGCGTAAGCTTTGTTTGCAGTCATGTAAGTGTAAAAATCCACACTGCTCTGGAGGGAATTACTCCTGTAATAAGTAGGTGCATCACCGAACTTTCACAGCCTGCCTGCCCTCAGTCTTTAATCCCTTTTCCCTGGAAGTGAGTTAGGAACTCCTGCGGTTTGGAATGCTAGCAACTGCTGGTTTAAAGCTCCCAATAATTAAAAAAAAAATTTAAATCTGTTTCCTCTCAATTGATGAATTCTTTCAAAAATAAAAATAATTTTTAGCCTAGTGCAGCTGGTACCCTCATTTTCCTTTCAGTTTTTGAGACAAAATAAGCAGAACAAATCACACTGTTGTTGCTGAAGATGCAAGCTGATTTGCATAGAAGTAGCTGCCACTCCACAGCATTATTTTCTCATTGTCTTGGGTCTGGCTGAGATGGAGTTCATTTTCCCCACAGCAGCCCTCACAGTGCTGTGCTCTGGACTGGGAGCTAGAAAAGTGCTGGTAACACACCAGTGTTTCGGCTACTGCTGAGCAGTGCTGGCACAGCACCAGGGCTCTCTCTCCAGCAGGCTGGAAGAGGGTAAGATTCTGGGAGGGGAACTCAGCCAGGACAGCTGACCTAAACTGGCCAAAGGGATATTCCATACCATATGATGTCAGCTCAGCGATGAAAGCCAAGAGAAAGGAGGAGGAGGAGGGGGCATTCGTTACTTAGGGTGTTTGTCCTCTGGAGCAACTGCTACACGTACTGGAGCCCTCCTTCCTGGGAAGTGGCTGGCCATTGCCTGCTGATGGGAGGTAGAGAATAAATCTTCTGTTTTGCTTTGCTTCCATGCATGGCCTTTGCTTTTGCTTTTATTAAACTGCCTTTATCTTGAGCCATGAGTTTTTTCCATCCTATTTTTCCCGGCCCTGCCCAGCTGAGGAGGGCAGTGATAGAGCGGCTGGGTGGGCTCCTGCCCTCCAGCCAGGGTCAGCCCACCACACCTGCACAGCAGGCTTCACTGCCTGTTTTGACCACCACAGCCCAGTCAGCAGTTGGGCAAGTGTGTCCTTGTCCCTGACATCTCTTTCCTGACCATCTGGAGTGAAATCAGAGCTCATCAACATGCTTACCTTGTTCACTCATTATCATACACATTACCTATGCTCAGCTAAGAGGCTACCTCTGTCCTGTCTGTTCACTCAGTTTTACCCTGCAAGGGGGCTCCTCCAGCCCCAGCTACTTCAACATTGCCTGTTGTGCCACAGGCAGAACCTCCAGCTTTTCCAAGCTAAGTATTTGCCACCCTTTTTCCCCTGTTATACAGAGCCGTGACAGCTGTAACCTCCCTAAGTACAGATTCCATCCAAAATTCATACTGCTCAAATCTGTCTGAACGCGATCCATACCAGTGTTTAACCAGTTTGTGCAGGAGCCCACCACTGCCCTCCCAAACCAGCACCTCCCGCATTTCACGCCTCCCTGCTCATCACTCTGAATATCTGCAGCCTGCTCCACACGCTCCGGCAGCAGGCAGACCTGCTGCTAAGCTTTTCCTCAAGTGTACAGATTAGTTCCTCCTTAGAGAAGGAGCCAGTTAAAACCCCCACAAACCCACTCAGAAACCCCCGCGTTATATTTTAAAGGCTTCGCTACTGTAAAAGTGAATTCTGCGGGAAAACCAGCTCAAGCCAGACCTTCTCCGTGAGTTTACCTGAAACGTTTTCTAAATCTAAACAGCACGGCTGTTGAACAGGGAAGATGCAGCCGTTTCAAAATACTCGGATTCTTCAACAGCAGCTCAGCTGGTGTCTGATACAAGAGAAAGAAGAACGCTTGTTCCCCACCAGCGCTGCCCAGTATGGCTTGTCGCTCGGAGAAACGCGAGCGCCAGAACAAACAGAGATAGCCTTACCTTATTTAGCCAGACACAGTGTCCGTGAATGTCCCAGCTGTACTCCATGCTGGTCACGGCTACCTTCATGCGTTTAAGGACGCGAGCGACGGTGGCAGTCAGGGCTCCTCTGAACCCAGAGGGAGAGGTTAAGCGACAGCACTGTCAAACCGAGGACGGAGGCAAACGCGGCAGTGGAGTGGGAGATGTGGGAAGCGGAGCCTGGAAGCAGCAGAGCTCCTCAGGCGGAGCAAGCAGCTCCTCTGGGGAATTAACACATCAAAGCCCGGGAAGATCAAGCCTTCTTCCAACCTGAGCCTGCTGCTGGGATCCCAACGCCCAAAGGCCAGGCAGCAAGGCGGAGGAGGATGCAGGCCGGGGGCACAGAGCTATGCAAACCTGACCAGGGAGTACGGGCAGCCCCATGCAGGTGGCAGTGGGTCAATTCGACCCTCAATCCTCGCTGAAGAGCATCCTGCGAGAGCAACCCCCTCCTCTACACCCCACCGGCACTACAGAACTCATCCAACCCGAAACCACACAAGGAATGAGCGATCCCGATCCCTCTGCCTGGCTGCTAGGTAGACAGGAGGGAATTTTCTTTTCTCCTTGGGCTTTTATTTGCAGAAGCTGGAAGAACACATGGAACCCACCTGCGGGCGCCAAAAGGAAGGAACACGTGGACTCGACTGTCCCAGGTCTCACGAGCGACTTGTCTCAAGTTTATGTCACAGGTGGGAACCACGTAAAATGCAACAAGAACAACCAACCTCTGCCCTCACGTTTAAGTTTCCATCTGCCCAGTCACAGCAGCAGCGTAACAAATCCTTGGTGTTCCTGAGCACGGAGCCAGGGCAGCCCTGGGATTATCTCAAAAGCCAAAGGTATTATTACAAGAAACGTTTACAACTACCGTTGACAGGTCCCAAAAACAGGAACGCTGAATAACCCAGGCCAAAAGAGCAGAGCAGAAAAGGAGCAGAAGCCGTGTGTTTTAAGCCAGATTGATGTGTTTTGGATTGGGAATGGTGATTTTTGATGGATCTGCCAGCAGGGGTCCAGCACAGGACCACACGGCTTGTTCTTACAGCTGATGAACTCGTATCCAGGATGCATGAAGATGCCACGCCAAGACGTGCTATAAATGAGCCCGTATTATCTTCCAGTGTTAAAAACACACCAGTCTGGACGATCACCTTTAACATGACCAGGGTCCTGTGTTCCCAGAACCCTGAGGTAGGTCTCTCACAGACAATATTGCTGGGAGGCAGTTCACAATCACAGACTGAAACGATATGACAGGGCTCCTTTCATATTGCAACCCGAGGAGGGATCTCACCCGGGTGTTTGGTGGTAAACGCCCATGTGCCACACATTACCATAGCTAAACTCAACACAAGCACAACCGGAGCCAAATGAATGCACCGTACGCCCACACTGAGATGATCAAGCTACAAACTTCGGTTTGAAGACAAGATTTTTCCATGAATAAGAAATAGGAGATGATTTCTGGCTAACCAAACCGCTTCCCCTACTTGGGAACCACCCTGTCATCCAAACAGGCCAGTGCATCTCTGTAAGATTACAAGCTATGTTTATGCAGCGAGGAAAACTCCTCTGTGAAACCCAGTATCGCCTCTATTAACTCTCACTGCTCCCAGCCACTCTCTGGAAGAACCAACTTGTTGACAAAGTGTCAAAACCTGAGGCTGGTCTGTGAGATGACAGATCTGCTGTTCACAGCAGCAGCACCGAGCATTGCACAAGCCACTGTGGGTACCACAGCTCAAATTAGCTATCATCTTCAGATGAGCTGAAATTGTTCTTCCAGAAAACCTTCAGGGGCCATTTAGTTTGTGTTGCTTTAAATGGTCTTAGAGCCAACTTCAGAAATTCACTTCTGGAGTGGAAAAAACACCCACCAATACTTATTCAGATTCAGAAAGTCACTTCCAAAGCTAGAACCACAGTTGCACTTGCTGTGGCTTTTAAATAAGAAGTGTTATTCTGGCCCTTTCGTTCCAGCAGCACATCCTTTACAGAGGAGAAGGCACACAACAGGACCCACATCCACAAGTTCAGATCAGGAGCTTGGGGAAGATGGCTCCGAGCTGTGGGAAGGGACTGTCCACCTACTCCACCCTCTTTTTAACAAGACACAGTTGGTTTCTTCTTTCTACTAAGGTGATTGCATAAGATGTTTTTAAAAAAAACCCCACACCAAAAACACTGTCAAGAAAAAAATAATAACCAGGGAGAAAACTGTCTTGTTTGTTTCAACTGAAGAAAAACTGCAGCAACATTCCCGACTGGGAGCAAGGTTTCTGAGAATTATTCTTCAAGAGATGGATTAACTTCCAGCTGGACACAATGGGGCTGCCTTGGTCTTGCAGAAGGCAGTGTTTCATTTAAAATGGTCTTGTTATTGGTGACGGTGTTACAGATGACTCACATGCTGTCTATATTCCAGCCAAAAGCTCCCTTTTCACAGAGTACAGCACATGTTTTATTAAAGCACACATCAGAATATATTAAACGTTTCTGTTGATCAGGAGAAACCTGAGAAAACTCCAAAACTTTGGAATAGTTATGATTTGGCTATGTATTTCAGGTCTGGTTCCCAGTGAAAACACACAGTCCCAACAGGTCTGCGCTTCGGAAGGCCTCAATTCCCTTCCCAGACTTTGAACAAACGAACTCGTTTGTAATTTTAAGCATGACATTCATCTGCCCTCCGTTTGCACATGGAGAAGCGAGCAGGGTTTCAGCAACAAGAGATCAGCTTTGAGCTGCAGACAGATGACTAGAAACGACGTTTTATAGTTAAACCGGCTTATTTGTCCATCAGAAAGCCACACGTACAACTTCTCTGAACTTCCTGCGGGGAGCATCCGATGGATTCTCTTGGAAGAGCACTGCCAGATGTCCAGGCCCTGTGCGTGCGCTCTGGTGTCACGTGGCCATCTGGCATCCACCAGTTAGGAAAACGTACCAGCATGAGGCGTTCTAACTCGCTGGTCCTTTCGGAGTGCTCGCACAGCCTTCTGTAGCAGCCTGAGAGGAGCAGAAAGGAAGCGGTAGAGGGACAGGGGGCAACCAGTTCTGGCGTGGCAAAACCGAATGCTCTGCCCCATTCTACAGAAGCGAGCAACTCCTGGAGACTGCTCACAGACCTTTTTCCCAAGTAGGGCATCAGCGGTTTCCCTGCAGGGGCCAGGAGAGGATTTTTCTTTTGTGACACACGCTTTGGCAGCAGTGAACACTATTTTTGTTCTCCTCTGAGACAGAGGAGACTTGCTTACAGCTTCGGATAGGATGTCACGCACCAGTTCCAGCAGCTTGGAATAGCCCGGTGGATGCAATGTCTCTATGCATGGAGGATTAAAGTGATTTCAAACCAAGGAGGTGTCTTTCCTTCTTGGTAAGGATGGACATAGTTGCAGAAAGCCTTCCTGCAAATCATCCGGGCACTTCTCCTGCTCAGACAGACCAGCAACTCTGGTGACACCTGCAAGTCCCATGTTTGTAGCACAGTACAAAGTGTAACGTTCAGTCTCTCCTACTAGGGGCTTTAAGGATGCCAGAGAGCACCAGGGAATAATTTGAGGCAGGCTGAAGAGAAGCATAGATGGGAACAGCTATTTTCTTCAATCTTTCGTGTGCACAATCCCTGCCCATCTTTCCCAGTGCTCAAGATGCATTAAGGTGAATGGCACAACAGATCCCTTTCCTCTCCCAGATTCAGCCCGTGGCAGCAATGAAAACCACTGCTGTGTCACTGACATGTGGTGATCCACATCATGAAGGACCTTGTTCCAGACCATAACAGCCAGGCATCCCTAAATCACACATTTGCATCAAAAGGGGCAATGACTGGCCTTCACCCCATTCATCTCAAAAAGCACTGCAGCTTCCAGCCACACTGATGGGACCCTTTACTCCAGCGGGTGGATCAGCTGCACTGAACATGGACATGGACTAGTCATCACAGAATCATGGAATGGTTTGGGTTGGAAGGGAACTAAAAGCCCACCCAGTTCCACCCCCCCTGCCATGGGCAGGGACACCTTCCACTAGACCAGGTTGCTCCAAGCCTCATCCAGCCTGGCCTTGGACACTTCCAGGGATGGGCCATCCACAGCTTCTCTGGGCAACCTGGCCCAGTGCCTCCCCACCCTCTCCAGGAAGAACTTCTTCCTGATATCCAATCGAAACCTCCCCACTTTCAATTTAAACCCGTTACCCCTTGTCCTGTCACTACAGGCCCTTGTAAAAAGTCCCCCCCAGCTTCCTTGTAGCCCCTTCAGGCACTGGAAGGTGCTATAAGGTCTCCCCAGAGCCTTCTCTTCTCCAGGCTGAACAAGCCCAACTCTCCCAGCCTGTCCCCATAGCAGAGGTTCCCCAGCCCTCGGAGCATCTCTGTGGCCTCCTCTGGACTTGCTCCAACAGATCCATGTCCTTCCTCTGCTGGGGACACCAGAGTCGGATGCAGAACAGGTGGGGTCTCTCCAGAGCGGAGCAGAGGGGGAGAATCCCCTCCCTCGACCTGCTGGTCACGCTGCTCTGGATACAGCCCAGGATATGTTTGTCTACGCTCACCATGGGGAGCAGTTAATTTCCTAAGGCTGTTTATTTGGCATATGAACATATTTTTACTTATAATGGCCATACTTGCATGAAACCTGCCATGGCCCTCGACGTCAGCTCCGCCCCGAGCAGAGGCCACTTACAGCGATGTTCACTGCTGTACGTTACGTGGAGGAACCGCTGACCTTAGCAGGAACTTGGCGCATTGCGGAGATCTGCCTCGGCTGCCGCTCCCGTCCCCTCCTCCCCATCCCAGCCTTGGCGGCCAGGCTCCGACACCGGGGGCGAGATCCAAATCCCACTGGAGGCAGCGGGAACGCTCCCACGCGCTTCGACAGGTTTCAGGCCCTTTCCAGGGAGCAGTTGAAAGCGGAGTGACAACCAAGAGCCCCTCCGCAGGGCCGCAGCGGGGAGCG